GACCTAGGAACTGCGCCTTGTAAGCAGTGGACACTGAGTAGATCCCGTCCATGGAGAGCTTCCACACTATGTCGTCCTCGACGTCGTCATCTATGTGAAAGTCATGCGTGAGCATCCAAAGGATGAAGAACTCCCGTACGTGGTCGCCGGTGATAACGGTGTCCCTCTTGATCTGAAGCATCCAAGCATTTGCCCTGAGGGCGTCGCGCACCTTCCAAGTTTTCCTCCTTGAGGCTTTAAAGATCAGAGGAGCAATGTCCTTGGGCTTGCGGCCAAGAAGCCAAGGGGAGTCCCAAAAAGGTATTTTTGCACCATTGCCCATGACTATCGTGGTGGATGCATAGAAGAAATCATGGTCTTCAACAGTACATGGGTTACCCAAACCCACCCAAAGTTTGCTCGGCTCCTTCCATTCGTACCACAGCCATCTCAATCTTAATGCACGAGCAAACTTGTCAGTGTTTAGCACCCCTAGGCCTCCATATGCTGAAGGGCGGCAAACAATTTCCCAATTGACTTTGCACTGCGCGCTGGTTGTCTTGTCATATCCAGACCAAAGGAAGGCTCTCTCAATCTTGTTCAGGTTGTGGAGAGTTCCTTGTGGGACAATCAATGGCGTGATGGAGTATATCGCTTGAGAAGCGACCACAGATTTGACAAGCGTCGTTCGACCAATGGTGGTGATGTTTTGGCCCTCCCAAGTGACCAACTTGCCAGCCGCTTTGTCCTCCAGATATTGGAAATCGATTTTCCGAAGCTGCCAAACCAATAGCGGAAGGCCCAAATATTTTATGGGAAAAGACGCCTGTGTCGCCGGCATATTGCTGAGGATGTGTTCCAGGTCCAGGTTGGCACATCTTATGGGCACCACGGAACTTTTTTGGAGATTGGTGCACAGGCCCGTGACATCGTCGAAGCCTCTGAGGATGACCGACAGGTTGTCGATGTCTGACTTGATCGGAGCCATGAAAACCGCCACGTCGTCAGCGTACAAGGAGGTTCTCACCATGGCCCCTCGCCCACGAAGCTTGTGAATAAGGCCCTTATGAGTTGCCAGCTCAAGGATGTGGTGAAGCGGGTCTATTGCTAGCACGAATAGCAGAGGCGAAAGAGGGTCCCCTTGCCTGAAACCGCTGCCATGCTTAATGGGTGGTCCAGGGATGCCATTGAGGAGGAACCGCGATGATGACGAGGAAACCAAAGTTGCGACCCAATCCCTAAACTTATCTGGCAGACCTTTTCGCTGAAGCAAGTCCAGAATGTATTCCCATTTGACCGAGTCAAAGGCTTTTTTGATGTCTAGCTTGAAAAGGAGGGCGGGAGTCTTGCACTTATGGAGCCGGCGGGCGAAGTTGCGAACGTACATGAAGTTGTCATGAATGCTCCTTTTCTTAATGAATGCACTCTGCGCGTGGGAGACAAGGGCACCATGTGGGGTGCGAGCCTTAGGGATAGCACCTTGGCAATGATTTTTGCGACGGCATGAATAAGGCTAATGGGCCTGTAATCGGAAATGCCCTCCGCCCCATCTTTTTTGGGCAACAACACCACATTGGCAGAGTTGAGCCACTGGAGGTTGTTAGTGCGAAGGGCGCCGAAACAGCTAATGACTCTCATGATGTCATGTTTGATGTAGCTCCAACATCTCTTGAAGAAAAGCCCGGTGAACCCGTCAGGGCCGGGTGCCTTGTCGCCAGGCATCTCCTTAATGGCCTCCCACACCTCGTCCTCAGTCAGTTATTTCATTGCCAAGCTCGTGGAGATCAAGGGGTTGGATGTTGAGCTCATCCCAGTTAAAATCAGCGGTAGGCATGGAACCAATCCCCATGACCCCAGAGAAGTGGTCGTGGATAATCTTTTCCTTGCGTGAGTGCTCCGTGACCCATCCACTGGCCAGCCTAATTCGATGTATGTGATTTTTCCTTCTTCTCGCATTGACGCGGCGGTGGAAAATTTTTGTATTGGCATCCCCTTCCCTTAGGTTAGCAATCCTCGCGCACTGCCTTTTCCTAGCCCTTTGCAACACCGCAAGGCTAATCACCCTTCACTTGAGGCGTGAGCGAAGGTCTAGCTCCTCCACAGAGAGAGTCCGCTCCTCTTGAGCAATGTCCAGGCGAAGGATGACCATGTGGGCTGCATGTAGGTGGATCTTGGCCTTAGAGAACATATTCTTTCTCCACTCAAAAAGCCGCAAAGTAGTCTTTTTGAGTTTATGGTGAAGCCTTAGGTAAGGTTCAGAGTGCTGCATTGGCTCATTCCAAGCTTTTTGGACCACCTCATGAAATCCAGGCAAAGAAACCCAGAAGTTTTCGAACTTGAAGGATCGAGGCCGTCTCGGCCCCTTGTCATCAGCTAGCGGTAAGGGGCAGTGGTCGGAGAGGGAGGACGACAGGGCATGGAGGACATGAGTGTTGAAAGTGGTGTCCCACTCGGCATTGCAGAAGAATGAGTCGAGCTTGCATAGCGTTGGGTTATTACGCTCATTGCTCCACGTAAAACGTCGATTCTGGAGGTGGATTTCCTTGAGTCGCAGGTTTGCAACGCGGACCGGAAGCGGTTGATCCTACTACGATTCACGTTCCTTTTATTTTTGTCTCTAGCTCGGTAGATCTGGTTGAAGTCCCCTAGGACGAGCCATGCCATATCCTACAACGGCTTGTGGGCGATGATCTCCGCAAAGAAAGCATCTTTGCTAGCCTGGTCCGTGGGGTCATAGACAGTTGTTGCCTTGAAGCAGATTCCGGATGAACGAATTCGCACAGAGGCTGACAAACAGTAGTTGGTTGCGACAATGTCATTGACATCAAGAAGGTTCTCATCCCAAAGCAATAGGATGCCTCCCCTAGTTCCGATAGCCGGACGTTGCGCGAAGCCGCGAAATCTAAATCCACCAATGGACGCGGCAGTGAACATGTTGACTGAGCTCAACTTCGTCTCCTGAAGGCAAATGAGATGGCAAGAGGACCCCTCAATTGTAGCTTTAACTGTTGCCCTTCGATCTGGGCAATTTAATCCCCTCACGTTCCAGCAAAGCATGTTAATTGGTTGTTCTGTCATGGAGAACTATTGAGCACTCTAGGCACACAGAGGTGGAAAAGCAAACTGAATAACTAAGCTTGGTACAAGGGGCACACCCAGCCATACTACAACAATAGGCTCCAACGCTAACCCCTAGCACACAGACTCCAAAAGGTTGCATTAACATGGGCAACCAACTACACCCTACGTTATGGAATCTTGAAAGACATTGCTCACGCCATGACGTCTTGCACTCCTCCATCTTGCAGTCCAGCCGCTCCAGCAGCTGGGTCAAGCACCCCCTCACCCCCATGGCCAATCAGCGCGTCCTCAACTGCATTGACTGCAGGGTTGTCGAGCTCAAAAAACTCTCTCATGGCTATAATCACTTCATCAGGAAGGTGTTGCTTGAACTTGTCCGTGAATGCCTTCAGTGTGTCTTCAGTGACATCCTTCCCATCTCGAGTAATGCCCAGGCTGCGGCAAATGAGGCTCTCAGCCTTCTTGGCCGCTGGCACATCAGACGCACGCACTGGAGCCCGGCGCACACG